GCAGCACTAATGGTGTCTCATAGTTTACTAGAAGATTTGTTGGGAAAAAGTCGAATTAGGGAAAAGGAGAAAAAAGATGAAATCTCTCCCGTAAACAGGCAGAATTCACCTGCATTTCCACTTCAAAATCCTCTCGAGAGTGGTTGATATGCTTTAGAACTCTTTTCACAGCGCAAGATTCCGCCTCTGATTGGCTTTTGACTAAACGTCGGCATTCCATCTCTTTTAGACCTTCCGACGTGAACCCTCAGGGAGCAATTTATCCCAGTCATTTCAAAGTTGTGACGGTCGTTAACTATCGAAACAGCGCGGAGGACATAATGTGATGGATGAAGAGAAAATAGCATGGCGCAACAACGCGCATGGGAAATACAACCAATGGAACACAATTCACTTCATCGAACAGATCAGAGCTACTGGTGTGCTTGCAACTTTATATAGCACCTATCCAGTGGTTAATTTTATCAAAAGGAAACATCGTGGGCAGAAAGGATAGTAAAAAAAAGGCGTCGAGAAAGGCGATGGAAAAGGAGGAAGAGTGAAGATATTCAGATTAGTGCAAAGGCCTAATAGACGCAACTTCTAGATGTGTGTCATCACTATCGCTGCGCTAATTGTAAGGCGCCGCCATGTTCGTTGTGGCATGCAAATGAAGCGCTTAAGGACAGGAATACAGCCATATTAACCCTTTGGCGACATTGCGGGTCGATGTTGGGACGCACTTTTTTTGCCACGACGGACAATGCGGGTCGATGTTGGGATGCAGCATAAAAAAACTTCACAGCGCATGTTCCAAGTTTCTAGTAATCACACCTTGCTCAGCAGGCTTCGTGTCACCTATAGACACCTTGGTCCGGCGCCAGCGCCATTTGGCGCCATGTTGGCGCCACATGGCGCCACGCCCTTTTTGCCACCAATTACGCTGTAAACTTGGGAACAGGGGTAATCGGTGGTCCTGAGCATGAAAATGGCATCCGTTTTCTGGCGCCGCGCCATGTGGCGCTAAGATGGCGCCACATGGCGCCACGCCCTTATTTACAGCGAAGCTTGTGGCAAAGAAGGCTCCAGCGCCAATTGGCGCCAAGAAATAGATGCCATATCTGTGTTTAGGACCGCCGATTACCCCTGTTACCAAGTTTTCCAGCGTAATTGATGACAAAAATGCCGTGGCGCCATGTGGCGCCAACTTCACGCCAAATGGCGCGGCGCCAAAAAAAGATGCCATTTTCATGCTTAGGACCACCGATTACCCCTGTTCCGAGTTTACAGCGAAATTGGAGGTAAAACAGGTTTTGGCGCCAAAACTACTGCTATATTCATGTTCAGCACCCTTGAATACCCCTCTTAGTGAAGTTTCGTCTCTGATGAATTTTCACGACCACTGAGGTTATGTTAGTCAAAAAGACTGTCATCTTGGACAATGCGTCCCAACGTCGACCCGCAAAGAAAAATGCGCGCGGTCCCACATGGCAGACACGCGAAAAATGGCATTGTCGCCAAGTGTTAAGGGAGAAGGAGCGAGCGATAGGCAGAGGAGGTGCCTTTGCAGCGCGTGCGCACATGTGGCAGTCTTCTTTGCGGGGATGCACTTTCATTCTTTGTACTGCCTTCAAATACGCCCTTCTCATGAAGGTGGAGGAATGGAGCGACTGAACCTGCAAAGAAAATACC